CTCTTCCGCCTCCTTGAGCATGGCGTCCCTATGCGCCCGCGCCTGAGCGCTGTGGCAACCGGCGGCAGCACGAGGAGGCAAGATCCGTCGACATCGAATCGGGAAATCCCATCAGATCAGAGTGTGTGCTTCGGATGGGCCTGCATCGGCACGGAGTCCGAATCAGATCGGATCGGCCGCGCCAGGATGCACAACAACAACAGCGACACGCAAGCACCAACATCAAATCCGCAGACGATCGGAACCGGGTCGGATCGGCCCGGCCGAACACGATATCGACTCGGATCGATCGGATCGAAATGGAGCTTGGGAGGGAGCGAGGAATGGAGGAGGAGGGGGAGGAGGAGGAGGAGGAGGAGGAGGAGGGGGAGGAGGAGGAGGGGGGAGGGAGGGAGGAGGAGGGAGGGGGGGGAGGAGGAGAGGAGGAGGAGGAGAGGAGGAGGAGGAGGAGGAGGAGGAGGAGGAGGAGGAGGAGGAGGAGGGGGTCCGCTCGGCTTTCGAAGAGGGAGCGCTCAAGCTGAAAGAAAATGAAAGACGATCTGCCTAAACTGGCCCAGCCTCAAGCACCTACGCTTCGGAGCGCGCTTCATTCAATCTGAACTGGTCGACTTCCTAGAGGGATGAGATGCAGGGAGGAGGCCTTGCTGGACGACAGGCGAAAACTTGTCGCCCTCTCAGGCGGTAGTGGCTCCCAGCGCGGGAACTCGTCGGGGTCCGTCGGAGCAGCATCCAGCAAGTTCCCCTGCCCAGGGCAGTGGGAGGCTCGGCCATATCCCAAATCTCCGACGCTGTACGGTCGGACCTAGGACAGCAGAACATCCTTTAAGAACATGACGCCCTCCGCCGGCCAAAACACACACAGGACATCCAAAGGCACCCTCCCCAGGACGCACAAGAACATCCAGCGCACACGAAGAACACGAGGACACCCTCCCCGAACCGACCTCGATCTCGTACCTCAGTCCCACTGCACTTGTTTTCAGCCTGGCGTCTCTTCTTTTAGGAGGAGGAGGAGGAGGAGGAGGTGCAAGGAGGAGGAGGAGGAGGAGAGGAGGAGGAGGAGGAGGAGGATAGGGGCGTGGAGGAAGAGAGGAGCGAGACAGAAGGAGGAGGACGGATGATGAGGAGGAGGAGGAGGAGGAGGAGGAGGACAGGAGGGACGGAGGAGGAGGAGAGAAGGAGGAGGACGACGACGAGGAGAAGGAGGAGGAGGGGGAGGGGGGGATGGGGGAGGGGGAGGGGAGGAGGGGGGAGGGGGAGGGAGGGGGAGGGGGAGGGGGAGGGGGGGAGGAGGAGGAGGAGAGGAGGAGGAGGAGGGGAAGGAGGAGGAGGAGAGGAGGAGTAGGAGGAGGAGGAGGAGGAGGAGCGAGGACAGGAGAGGAGAGGTCGGATGGAGGAGGAAGGGAAGGAGGAGGACGGACGACGAGGAGAAGGGAGGAGGAGGAGGGGAGGGGGCAGGAGGAGTGGAGGTGGGAGGAGGGGGGATGGGGAGGGGGACAATGCTAGGTGCGCTCGCGTCATATCTGACGTCCTACCCCTCCCTCCAATCCCTTACCATGGCGCTGATTTTCTCTATCCGCGGACGCGTGTCGTAGCGGACCTGTGGCTCCGCGCGCGCGTGTGCGTAGTGGGTGGTGGTGCGCGTGCGTGCGTGCGTGCGTGTGTGCGTGGTTGTGGTGTTGGTGCTGGTGATGGTGCTGGTGCTGGTGCTGGTGCTGGTGGTGACTGCTGGTGGTGGTGGGATTGGTGGTGGTTGGTGGTGGTGTTTGCGTGGTGGTGGTGGTTGGTTTTGGTGGTGGTGCGGCCACGGGGTGGCGGGCGGATGGGCGCGCGAGAAAGAGGCCCGCGCTGGGGCGAGAACGCCATCCTGAACGACGGAGGCCGAACACCGATCCGAAAATGAGGCCCACGCTGCAGCGGGAGCACGATTCGGAACGATTCGGGAGCAGAAATTAGGCCGGCGCCTCAGCGAGAGCAGCAGTTTGAAAAAAACGCAGGCGAAAACCCGTTTCCCGGGAATCCTGTGTGTAAAAAACAGTACGCGGGGGGGGGGGGGGCGGCCATCTTCGGGACGCCATCAGGGGAAGTGGGAGAGTATTTTCATATTGTGCAATTGTGGAGGAGGAGGAGGAGGAGGATCCAGCTCGTGCTCCAGCCCGGACCGAGCACCGGCCTCGCGCGGAGGAGGGTTCGGGAGCCGCGGAGGCCCCTGCATGCATCGAAGCAATCACGACGTCGGAGGTATTCGAGTAGGGGATCGGCTACAGAATTGATTTATAACAGAATTTCTTGATTCGCCGAATCTATGAAAATACGTGAAATGCTCCGTAGATCCACGGAACATTCTACGCATTGTCCGCAGATTCGACGGATCAATTCTGTAGTCGATCCCCTACTCGAGTTATGGGAGCACGCTGTGGACGTCAATGTCTGCTCGAGGCCCCTGCGCGAGGTCGGCCCTGCCCCTGGCCTGCCCCCCCAGCGGTTGCCCCCCGACCCTAGGGCGTCCTCGCCCTCGCCGCACCCCCCCCTTTTGGAAGCTTGGAAAGGAGCACCAGCACAAACACAATGAGGAGGAGGAGCAGGAGGAAGAGGAGGAAGAGGAGGAGGAGGAGGAGGAGGAGGACGGAGGAGGAGGAGGAGGAGCAGTCAATTCTGTAGTCGATCCCCTGCTCGAGGCCTCTGGCGCGAGGCTCGCCCTGCCCCTGGCCTGCCCCCCCCAGGCGGTGGTCCCCCTGACCCTGGGGCGTCCTCGCCCTCGCCGCCCCCGCCCCCCTTGTGGAAGCTTTGAAATGAGCACCAGCACAAACATAAGGGGGAGGAGGAGGAGGAGGAGGAGGACTGGAGAGTGAAGAGTGAGGAGGCTAGGAGGATGAGGAGCAGGCGGAGGAGGAACACAGACACGGAGGAGGAGGATCGCGAAGGAGGAGGAGGAGGAAGGAGGAGCGGGAGGAGGAGGAGGAGGAGGGGGAGGATGGAGGAGGAGGAGGAGGAGGAGGAGGAGGAGGAGAACTTCTGGGGTTGCCTCCACCGATGCAAGATGATCCAAATTACACCAGAGAAAAACCCCAATCAATGGATGATTTGATCGAGAAGGAGATCGACGGGGAACCTGGGAACCCCGAACCCACCGAAATCGGCCCGGAACCAAAAACCAGGAACCCGGGAACCCTGAACTGGGGAACCCAGTCGGCCAGCAAAATCGGCGGGACACGTTCGCCCAATCTTTCAACTTCCGCCAGAACCCCTTCAGTGCAAACACTGATTGGGGGAATGCCGGCGCTGGTGGTCATAGTTCGGTCACCTAAAACACCCAAACATCACACCACCATTACCGCGATCGGGATCATCTTCCCTCGATAGAGGCACGCCGCCGATCTTGGTGCTGGTGTTGATCTCTAGGCCTCCGGACACTGCCCACGACCCGCCCCCCTCGGGCCGCGGCCCTCTCCCCAAACCCTTTCACGCCGCAGCGCGGCAGGGGCGATCCCCACGCGCGCTTGGGTGAACAGGGCCATTGGCAGGCACTCGCTGCTTGGCGGCAGGAGCGGTGGGCCGAGGCGGGGCGCGGCCGCGGAGGGCGGGAGAGGGGAAGGCCCTCACGGCACGAGAAATCTCGACCAGGAGTGGCGGGGGGGTGGCCCGCGTGCGCTGACGCGGCCTGGCGGCGGACGCGGGGCGGGCACCTCGGCCACGCCGGAGGGCCGCTCTCTCCCAGACGTGCGGCGTCTTGGTCTTTGCGGTGCGGGGCCCCCAGAAGCCCCGGCCCCTGCCCCAAGGGCTGGCTCTTCACCCCGAATCGTTGCTTGATTGTCCCGGGGTCCGGCGAAGGCCCCACGAAACCGAAAACTGCGGAAAACCTCCCGTCGTGTCCCTCCCGCGACGCGGACATGTCTCGAGTGGGGGAATGACTACATAATTGATCTACCCCCCAAGATTGCGTAGATTGCTTGCGAATCTACGAGCACCCTACTTTTTTGGGGGCGAAAGCCACTCGAACAAACGATGCTGGGGCACATCAATTCTGACGTCGATCTCGTGCGCGTTTTTTAACTCGGCATTTCGACATTGGGCGAAAGGGTGGGGGGAGGGGGGGGGGTCTGGCTCCGGACCTCTGCTTAGTGCGACTGTTTGCAGCAGTGCGTCCTACCGGGGAGACTCCACCTGCTGGAAACAGGCGGCAAAAAACAGCCAAGATCTACTCCATGTGGGGGGGAAGGGGGTTGGGGGCCCGCGCCGATCGGCAAAACAATGGAATAAAAAACGATCACCTCCTGCTCGAAGGTCTGGGCGCCCCCTGGTCCAGGGCCACGGCTCCTCCGACCGGCTGGCCTGCCTTTAGGTCGGGCATGTCATTCTACAGGCGGATTTTGGACGAAACATAAAACATACTCCAAACATGCGCAAACATAGCCAAAAGCAAGAAAATCGCCACCAGACTATGTTGTGACTACATGCGAATATTCCTCCTGTAGGGGGGGACACGCCTGACTTGCTGACCAGCCAGAGCTGGGGGAGCTGTGGTCCTTACCCCCCCTGGGGGAACCCATCGCATCGACGATCTCTCGAGAGGGGTGTCGAAATCGATGGGTCCCCCAGGGGGGTAAGGACTGGCCCGACTTAAGCCTGCCTCGCTCCCGCGGCGGCGGCCCCGCCGAGCGCCACCAGGGGGGCGGCGAGGCCTGGCCGATCTCGCGCACGTTTCTCTCGAGGGCGCCATTGGCGCGCGCGCCCTCGCCTCGGGCAGCGCGTGCGGCGGCCGGGGGGTGGGGGGGGAGGGGCATGATACGGGGAGGGGGCAGGACGAGGGAGAGAGAGGGGGGCAGGGGAAGGGGGGAGGGGGGCAGGGGAGGGGGGCAGGGGGGAGGGGGGAGGGGCAGCGAGAGGGGCGCAGGAGGAGAGGGGGGCAGGAGAGGGGGGGGGGGGAGGGGGGAGGGGGGGCAGGAGAGGGGGGGGGGAGGATCGCGACAAACATCACGACGGGAGGCGCCAGGCCATTCTTGCGGTTGGCCCGAAGGGGGGGGGCCCAGCTGAAAAGGGGGTGGAGCAGCATATGTGGGGCAGTGATATTGCAAACTTATTGCGCCAGAGAATTCAATTCTCTGGCGAGCCACACGATCGATTCACGTGCGCATATCAGAAAAAAAGGAAAATAAAAATGAAAAACGAAGACGCAAATCCACGCTGAATTCACTCTTAGCACCGGCGAAACCAAGAATTGTACTGCAACTAGTGCACTGCACGCGAAGAATCCAGTTGCGCACCCGAGTGCATTGCACGCCCCAGAAGTTCTGCAGTCCCACGAATCTATTACACCAGATCCAGTGCACCACCCCCTTTCAGCTGGACGCCCCCTTCGGGTCAGCCAGGGTTTTCGGCCTCTGGGGGCCCTGACTGGGCCCGGGGCAGCAACGAGCACGGCTCGGGATGGAGAGCCGGTGCCTGGGAAGGGGTCCAGGACAGTGGCGATGTGAGCCAAATCGCGACGCCAGGGGTCTGGGGGGGCAGGAGGGAGGCAAGGCTGACGCGCTCTCGCCACATCTTACATCGTGTTCCTTCGGCCCATTTTTTCTTCGAAAGCCACACATTACCCCACATGCTCGCCTACTCGGCAATCACAAGGCCCACAACAGGCAACGACACCTTCAAGGATCCGCCGAAAACCAAAAGAGCGTCAAAAATCAAAGGGGCGCCACCAAAAAGAACGCCGAATACCGAACGGGCGCCGCGTCAAAAACCAGGGGAGTGCCGAAGATCAAAGGGGCGCCCGAAACCAAAAGGGCGCCGCAAACCAACAGGTCGCCACACGCAAAAGGCGCGCAGAAAAGCAATGGGGCGCTGAAAACGAAAGAAACAGCGAAAACCAAAGAAACTCCGAAAACCGAAAAGCGCAGAGAACCAAAGTGCCGCCGAACACAAAAAAGGCGCCGAAAGCCAAAGGAGCGCCGAGAACCAACAAATGCGCCGAAACCCCACATGGCGCCGAAGATCGAAGAGCAACCGAACACCAAAAAGGCGCCGAAAACCAGAAGGGCGCCGAAAACCAGAGCGGCACCGAACACCAAAGGGACGCAACATCAAATATGCGCCGACAACCAACAAGGCGCCGAAAATCAATGGGGAACCGAATGCCCAAAGAGCGCCGAAAACAACGGGAGGCGCTGGAAACCAACAGAAAACCGAAACAACCAAGACGGCGCCGACAACCACAAGGGCGCCAAAAACCAAAGGAGCGCCGAAAACCAAATAAGCGCCGAAACCCGAGAGGGCGCGTAAAACGAAATGGACGCCGAAAACCATAGTAGCGCCGAAAACCCAAACAGCGCCGAAAACAAAAAAAGGCTCTGAAAACATCAAGGCCCCGAAAACGAATCAAACACCGAAAACCAAAGAGGCGCCGACAACCAAAAAGGCACTTAAAACCACATGAAACCAAAGGAGCGTAGAAAACCAAAGGGGCGCGGACAATCAAAGGGGCGCCGAAAACCACAAGGGCGCCGAAAACCACAATGGCGCCGAACATCAAAGGGCGCAGAAAACCAAAATGGCGGCGGATACCAAATGGGCGCCGAAAACAAAAGCGGCGCCGGAAACAAAAAGGGGCGCCGAAAACCAAGCAAACGCTGAACACCACAAGGTCGCCGAAAACCCAAGAGGCGCCCAAAACCAAAGGGGCGACGAAAACCAAATGGGCACCACAAAACAAACGGGCTGGCGCCGAAACCCAAAGGTGCGCCAAAAAACCAAAGAGCGCCAACAACCTAATTCAAGGGTGCCGAAAATCAAAGAGGAGCCGAACAAGAAAATAACACCGAAAACCATCAGGGCGTCGAAAACCAGAGGGGTCCCACAACAAGGTCGCCGAAAACCATAAGGGCGCCGAAAGCCGAAGAAGCGTCGAAAACCACAGGAGCGCCGAAAACCAACAGAGCGCCGACAGCCAAAAGGGCGCCGAAAACCCAAGAGGCGCCGAAATCGGAAGGGCACCGAAGACCACATAAGCACCGAACACAAAAGTTGCGCTGGAATCCAAGGGCGCCGAAAACCAAAGGAGCGCCGAAAACCCAAAGGTCGCAAAGACTCATAAGGGCGCAGCAAACCTAAAGGGCGCCTAAGACCGCAGAAGCGCCGAAAACCTAAGGTGCGCCGAAAATCAAAAGCGCGCCGAAAACCAAAGGGGAGCCGAAAAAGACAGAAGCGACGAAAACCAGAAGGGCGCCGAACATCGAAGAGGCGCCGAAAACCAAAACCAAAACGACGCCGAACACCAACGATGCGCCAGAAATCAAACTAGCGCCGAAAACCAAAAGTGCGCCGAACAAAAAACTGGGCGCCTAAAAACCAACAGAGTGAGCGCCGAACAAAAACCAAAGTGCGCCGAAAACCAAAGAGACGCCAGAAACCAACAGGGGCGCCAAAGACCAAGGGAGCGCCGAAACGCCGAAAACCAAGGGGACACCGAAAGCCAAAGGGACGCCGAGAACCAAACGAGCGCCGAAA